TGATAGCCTTTTTCTTCCAAGGCGTAGAGCGGTCACCCATGCTCGAGGAACTGGAGTGGCTGACAGGTTTGGAGGTGGATGTAACGCAGCGGGTGGAATGGGAACTGGAGTATATGGTCGAGGACAATGTGGTCAACATGACTAGCAGCTGAGGAGGATTAGCGAATTTAAGAGACTGAGAGTGTGGCAGGTTATCAAATGTGGCGGGATGCAAGGTTGGGCAGGGTTGGTACGAGTGTGGCTTGTGGGTCAGTAAGCGAGTCGTGGCTGGAGTGGCGATATTGAACACACCGTTTGTTTTGTTTGGTATGTGTTGTGAATATTTCACGGGTAGTGCAGGTTGACTGATGAGTATTCCGCCCCGATACTAACGAAGCGCAGATACTCTCTCTTCAGCTGTGTTGGTCGCTTTGTTGAATTGCAACATGTCTTGCGGCCTCCAATTTGCCACTCGTTGTGGCCGATTCGTCAGTCACGCCACCGCTTGGACCCAACCAGGCTTCCCTTTTATCAGTAGCCCGCTATCCCCCAGCATCCTAGTTTATATTTTCCGCAGGGCGCGTTGCTTCATCCTTAGATCGAATAATGGTACGCTTCTCCTCGTGCAGTAGATCTAGACCAGCTGGCGATGCTGATGGCTTTCGATCTTGAAATATTGGGTTACAGGAAATGAAGACCTGTCCACGATTACAAGCCACTCAATTTCATCACTCCACGACCAACACTACAGTGCTTTAACACCATTATTATTCTTGGCAGTGTACCGATCATCTGTGACTTCTGTTGAAGGCGAAAGTAAACAATTGTAAACTCATGGGTCGACTTTGGACTGTGCTTTGTGGTCACCCAGGCAGCACGCGACAGAATCTAGTGCTACAAACCTCAGGCGGAGGCTTAATTATCTTTTGATAGAGCTAGAGGCAGACGTCCCTGTCACCTCCCAGTCATATCCTGTGCTTTGATGCAACGAGATACAGTCGCTCGCAATTGGACCTGGGACTTTGGAAAAGGGAAGAGGCCAGAATCGCCAATACTAGTGGTTATTAGCTAATGCGGCAGGCCAATGACAGTCGATTTTTGAGAACTTGAGAGCCATTCTTCGGGAACATCGAACGCTGCTCGGGCTTGATCTAACTGCTGAGGCTCAGGCCCAATCAATTGCATTGCGCAACCTGCGACCACGCATGGGCGAGGTAGAAGATATTTTTTCTATAATTTCCAAGCATGGTGAAACTGCCTGAATGGAAACCATGACTGCGAAATCAAAAAAGGTTGAACGAGTGAGAAGCAAAGTGGCGGTGTGCACCGGCCGCAGACTGTCGGCTACTATATGGTACCTATCGACACATTATACAGCCCAGAATTATCACTGCGTATCGCAGAACCACCAAGGCAAAGGCATGCTATTTACCCTCTCTAATGGTCGTGTTTTTCGAACCGGACACGATTGATCGAGTCTGTACGGCGTTAAAAGGAAAATTCAGCTGGTGCGCTGTGTCCACACTTGGACGGCTTTGTCACTGATATGAATCGAACACTAGTTAATGCTCGTCCTGCGAGATTGCGATAGATGACTGCCCGAGTCTGTATGGACTTTGGGAAGCAAGCTGTTGCATGGTAGTTTCCTCAGCGGCGGTTTCAAAAGCGCCCGTCCTGTCACGGCACAAAACGAGCGACAATCAATAAGTATGCCTCTCGAATTTGAAAGAAATAGTGTTTCAATTTGACATCGATACAGATCTCCGTGCAGACCCTTCTACACTAAGTATCGGTCAGACTTGCCAGTGCTCTACTAACCTTTGGTTCATCATGTTGTATGCAGCGTCAGAAGCCCCGAACCTGTTTGCATTCTCACTACCTCGTTCATCCTCAGCGTCACTGATGAACCTGTGTGACAAGGTAATATGAGTCATCGATGCATGCCCTCGCGGATAGCCAAAAGAAACTTGTGATGGTTAAGACCATCTCATGGCCATTCTAGATAATACTCAGGACATTTTAGATACGAAAGACACTGCTTACTTACGAACGTTTCCGGTTGTATGTTTCTCGTGGTTTCGTCTTAGGTAGTTGTGGATCATGTCGCAGCCTGTCGTTACCGTTTGAGCCTCAATCGTTCCTGCATACTTAGTCTGGTGCGTTCGCTCCTGTACCCTCATGGAATCAACGCCAGTAGCTGGCACCCTTGTTCGCGAATCCTCCGTACTCTTGTTCGCCCTCTCGACACCTAGCGTTTCGGTATTGACCTGTTTAGCCTTGTTGCCTGGTCTTGCCCGTTACAAAACTCAGAAGTACACTAGTATTGACACTGTCTTTTGAAATCGGGGTTTAATCTAAGGGAACAACGCACGTTGCAACCGGGGGCGGCCTAATTTGACATAAGTGGAAACAGCTTGGGAGCATCGAAATTCAGCGCATCGATCCTGATGGAAAGCACGGCGCTCGATATGGAAACATAGGTGACATTGTGCACCGTTTCTACGGTGAGAGATCATGTTTGAATCCACACACAGAGTACCTGACCGATGCACGATGTGAGCTGAATATTCACCCTCGACGCCGCGCGATGTGGGGAGCAGAAGTATCGAGGACGATCTCTCCAGCTGTACATCATATACTAGTGTACATTACTTCACTGCTCCTTAGCTCATGGAAAGTGACTCGTAGTTATCATCTGTCGTGCATTCATGCATGCTACGAGCTGTACAAGAAATCTAGCAAGCTATTTGATCATCTCTATCCAACGGAGCTTCAGCGATTTAATGCGAGGTTGGTATCGGATTGAACTGCGCAAACTACACTACTTTATACACAGCAGCAATTACATGGCGAAGAGCAAATGTACACTACCTGTTCACAGCATAAATTTCCCTTTAGTCCGTATATGCGCACGATTACACTCCGTTGGGATTATAGCATTCGTGCCAGGCCTTTCCGTGTGCAAATTGACTCAGGTCTAGCTGCAAACCGTCATTCGGAATCACCAAAGCATTCCCTGGAGCATACATCCGTGACCGGTCCATGAGTTGGATTGGAACCCAGAGTAGAAGCTGGCCTCCCGGGCCAGTAACCCAACCTTCCTGATCAGGTAGACGAGAGAACTGCGGCACGTTCGCCCTAAATGGAGCCAGAATCTTCAAGGAATGAGCTGGATTTGATGAATAGCATATCGGGCGATGGTCCATGGCGGCATCCATGGGTGTTTCATTATCCAGATTACACAAGTCACAAGGGCAAGTCGTCTGCTTTTTGACCTGAACCAACTGAGTCACTTGTCTTTGGAACCCATCCACCACATCAAGACAACAATCAGGAATGCAAACCAAACAAATGCCACAGAGAATACATGAAGTGAGTGTTAGGAAACACATGACGGACACTTCAGGATCGCACCTTGCACAGTGTCGATATTCATTGCGGGTTTTCGAGTGCGCGCTTTCTTCAGAACGAAGTCGCTCTAGGCGCATGTTTCCCTCGGGACGGAGTTGTTCCTGGCACACTCCTTCCTCGAAGATCCTTTCCTCCTCGAGCCTCCTGTCTTCGAGATGGAGACTTGAGGCGAAGATATCGATATCGCGCTCCGCAGTCTCGATATGCATGTCCAGCGCACATAGCTCTACGTCATTATCAGCTGAAATATTGGATAGCGCACCATTGTTAGTCTATGTCCAAGAATTACCACAAGACGAAGGATACCGTAAGCTATACTCCACACTCGGATGGTGGTGTCAAACGAACCGGACACAATCCTCCGTGCATCATGCGACATTGCGACAGATGTAACCCAGTCTGTATGGCCCTCAAGAGGTAAGCCTACCTGTTTCGCCATCTCCGCATCCCAGACTCGGATGGTGTTGTCATCCGATCCTGACACTATTCTCCGCCTGTCGCGAGACATTGCGACAGACGTGACGATATCTGTATGACCTGAGAGTACGGAGGCCAACTGCTGCTCCGTGTCTGTATTCCAAACTCGTATGGTCTTGTCGTTCGAGCCAGATACAATTCGCCGCCCGTCGTGGGACATCGCGACAGATGTAACCCTATCAGTATGGCCTAGGAGAGGCGAGCCCAGCTGCTGACCCTGATCCGCATTCCACACTCGTATGGTGTTGTCGCTTGAACCGGACACAATTCGCTTCCTGTCGTGTGAGATTGCGATAGATGTGACCCAGTTTGTATGACCTTTGAGAGGCTTGCCCAGTTGTTGTCTTGTGTGTCCATCCCACACTTGGATGGTCATATTGTTGAATGAATAAGTGAACGCACCTACAAAGTTCTATGTACAGAACCACTACAAACGGTTCATGGACACTGTAGATTAGTTGATCTAATCTCATCTATATCTTAGAAACACAATCATGTATCTGATCAACCAGATATAGTTATTATCACAACACGCTTGTCAAGGTATCGCCCTGATACTTGACTCAGACTCAAACCCTAACCCCTAGTCACTCACTTGTAGTGGTAGATGGTTGATATAGACAAAAGCTTGGTGGGCTGGTATGCTTATAGGAGCTGGTAGGCTCAGGGTAAGAGTAGAGGAAGTTGACAAGGGTAGATGAGTATAACAAGTCTAACCTTTCAACGCTGTATTGTTCTGGTATTTTATACATGTGGGACCAGACCCTGGATACTACTGGTAGTACACCTAACACCTAGGCTAACTGATGCTCCTAATACGCTATTGGCTATCTAAGTATAACTAATCATGCGTGTGAGCCATCACCATGTGTCGGGTCAGTAGTCTGATGTGTGATGATCACCTGAACGACCGTATGTGTCTCTAGTACAAATGGGGAAA